AAGAAACAAATTTATAGTTGCTTAGAAAACAAGTTGGAATTGATAACTGAAATAAACCAACTAATATAAGAAGCAAAAGATAATTTCAAGCATTTCCAATTTGTATTTTAAATAACAGTAAAATACTGCATTGATAAAACAAAAGTAATTTACTACATAAAAGGAACAATTAAAAAACATACAAAAAGGCAGTTCTTAGAAATAAAAACATGGTTGTCGAACCAAGAGGCAGTAAAGAACAATGTAATCATTGCTGAACTAAAAATGAGAAAACTAAAAAAATTCCTCCAGAATATAGAGCAAAAAAGATAAGGATGGAAATTATGAGAGAGAAAAAAAAAAGACAGTAATTCTAGGAGATGAGAATGAAACAAGACAGTGGAGAATTATTAATCAAAGGAATAGAATTTTTCACTGGGCTAAAGAGATCTTTAGCATAAATGTGTTAACCAAATGCTATATAGAATTCTTAGAAAAAGGATTAATACCTAGAAAGCTACCTTGGTGCATTTATAAACTTCAAGAATAGAGAGACAATACTATAGGCCTCCAGATATTAAAAAAAATAAAAGAATCTGAATGAGAGAGAGAATAAGAGTAGTACTGGACTTTCCATCTGCAACACTCAATGCTTCAAGGTAAGATTAATGTTATGGAGTTCTTGTGTGAGAGTAAACGTAAGCCATTTTGGACACGTGAAAAATAAAGAAGTATACTACCCATGTTCATTTTTGTAAAATGATGAACTAAGAACTTCAGCCAAATTAAAAATGTATCCAATTTAAAAATCAAGAACAGGGAAGGTTTTCTATACAAGTGACAGTTATAAGCAATGAAATCAAACTTACGGTTGTTTAAAAAGAATTTTTAAAGTAAAAGAGAAATAAAAGAAAATTAATAGCAATCAGGATTTAGAAATCCAGATTATTTCAACAGAAGCTTGGAAACAGGATAAGGAAATGGGGAAGCAAAGGCATTACTAAAGATCAAGTCTTATTGGGGTTGAGAGTAGTCAAAGTTAGTTAATACTTGGGTTGTCAAAATAGAAATACAAATTTAAATTGTTTATAAAAAATATAAATCAACAATTTATAAAATTGGATGTCGAACCTCCAAGGGAAAGAGAAGATAAAGATAACTAGATCCTCCTAGCAAACATTGAGAAAGCAGAAAGGGTCAAAAATGATATACTAATTATTATAAAATACTTTTTGTAATGGAAAAGAGTCTCCAATTGAGGAATCTTTTTTGTTTGTTTTTGAGATGCAGTTTCATTCTTGTTGCCCAGGCTGAAGCACAATGGTGCCATCTTGGCTCACCACAACCTCTGCCCCCCAGGTTCAAGGGATTCTCCTGTTTCAGCCTCCTGAGTAGCTAGGATTACAGGCATGTGCCGCCACACCCAGCTAATTTGTATTTTTAGTACAGACGGGGTTTCTCCATGTTCATCAGGCTGGTCTTGAACTCCCGACCTCAGGTGATCCGCCCGCCTTGGCCTCCCAAAGTGCTGGGACTACTGGTGTGAGCCACCGTGCCCAGCCTCTATTTGTTAATCTAACCATATACTATGTATATGTGAAGACAAACTTGATATGACATAAAAAAGGCTGAAAACAAGGTGATGAACAAAGATATTAATGAAAGAAAGCAGGGATGGTAATATTAATATCAGGCAAAGTAGAATTAAAACAGAAAACATTACACTTGTGCTATATTTTATAATGTTAAATTATATAATATACTGAGAAGATATATCCATAAACCTTGATACATTGAGCAACAGCAAACTGAAATATGTAAACCAAAAATTGTTAGTAATACAAGAAGGACAGGACAAACTACAATCATAGTGGAGATCTTCCTTAGAATTTGGCAGATCAAATAAACATAAATTAATGTAACTGTACTTGAAAAACACAATTTAAACATAATAACAATTAAAATGTTTGATTATATAACTTTTTTAGCCTTTTTACTCAGCCAAAAGAGAATGTACATGTGTTTTCAAATACCCAAAGGGCATTAATAAAAGTTGATCCTTGAATAGACTACAAGAATAATCTTAGTGAAATCAACAGAGTCAAAATCATATAGTCCGTATCCTATGATTATGGTAGTAGAAGGATTAGAAAGTAATAACAAAAAGATAACTTAATGCCCCTTGAAATTACATTTTCTAAATATCTCTTGAGTCAAAGAAGATATCAAATTTGAAATGACAGACTATTTAGAAAATGATGGTGAGAACACTAACCCTATAGCGGGCAAGCTGTACTTAGGAGGAACTTTGATTTTATTATTTAAAGAAATCATGACAATAACTGAAGCAAATTTTTCAACTCATGAGAACAAGATAAAATAAACCACAAAAGGGCAGACTATTAAGTAGAGATTCATGAATAAGAAAACAAAAAGCAAAATTTAGAGGTTTTCTTAAAAAGACCAATAAAAGGGATCCCTTATTCATTCTATATTTATGTTCTGGAACACACTCTAACAACAGTAGAACAAACATATAAATTGATTTTCAATTACAAGGAGTTTAGATTATTATGGCACAAATACAAACACCTATAATTGGGAAAAATCATGGATAAATTGAAGTCAAACCCTGTTATAACCATGACAGCCAAGAATATTGATTCACTCACACTAAAAATGTTCTGTGGGAGGGCTCCCACCATAGGTCTTGGCACTTTCTGCTTCTGCTCTGTGTAATCTTTTCCCCCAGACACAATCTCTGCCCGAATGCTGCCTTACCAAAGCATCTTTGTTTGACCACTCCATTCACACTCTATTTTTCTTATCCTTAGCCTGTTTTATTTTTCTTCATATCACTGTATGATACAAATTTATATGTTTATTATCTATCTCCTCCACTAAGGTATAAGCCCCTTGAGAGACAGCTGCCTATTTTGTTCACTGCTACCCTCCTGGTGCCTAAACCAGTAAGTGGCTCATGGTAGACTCTAAATAGGTATCTGTTGAATGTAGGCTGCTCCACAAAACATTACTGTATATGTAGGTGGCATGGTTTGATTATCTACATAACAAGTTCCTGATGATGAAGTTTTATTGTATTCATGATCTAGATTTATACAGACTTCTCAATAGCATGTGGAACTGAGGCAATGCCAACGTGGGGTCTCCATGCTTTGGAGACCATGTGTCTGGCCCCATGTCTACTGTGATGAGTGGAATAGTACCTGAGGAAAACCTCTAGTAACTCTCATTAACTTGGGGTTTGTAATTACATTGTACCCAAACAAGTTCTACTGTTCTTTACTAAATTCTAAGTTCTTTAAGAACAAGGTCTCTTTCTTAAATGACTCCATGGCCTTGGATTTGCAGGCATGAAGTGATATCTGGTACCCAACCTTAGGTCCAAGACCGTCAATCTGCATCTTAGCTCTTACAGCCATCATCACACCAGGGACCCAACATATACTTAACACAGAATCCTAACCTGGCTCTGCTATGGATACCAGGCAGACTGCTCCCTGTATCTCATTGCCATCCATTTCCAAAGTACACAGGAACACAGAGATTGGAGCCAGGCATATCTGAATCCAAATCCTACCTTCCCCACTAACCTGGTGTATATTCTAGGATGAGCTCCTGCTTTGTCTTTCTGCCTTTCTGAGCATCAGTGTGGTAGAGGTTGCTAGTTTCTCACCAATATCCATTCTTCCTCCTTTGTTCTAAAACTTCTAAGTTATGGCTGCCTGGTTAGAGACCATATTTCCCAGTCTTTCTTGCTGCTAGTTGTTACTCTGGGATTAAGTTCTGGCCAATGGAAAATGAACAGAAGTGAGACCTGCCATCTCCATATCATACTTCTAAAAGGAAAGGTCTTACTCTCCCCTTGCCCTTCTCCTTCCCTCTGGTAGGAGCACAGTCATGATGGCAGAGCACACTTATGACGGTGGGAGCTGAAACAACCACTTTGGTCCTAGAGATGGAAATTATTAGTGAAGGTGCCAGAGTTGCCAAACCAATTCTGGTCTGCATATCTCAGATGAGCGTGGCACCCGAGACAAAAATATGAAACAGAGATAATCTTCAATCTTATTTAAGCCACTGTTTTTGGAGTCTGTTTGTTACAAGAGCTTAGACTGTAATATACTTGCTTTCCTTAGTTGTGAAAGGAGAATAATACCTGGCTGGGCCGTTGTAAGAAGGAGTATGCAGTAGGAGCTAAAAAGTGATAGGAATGATTATTGTCCAAACTTGTGCAGCTTTCCTTCAGCCTGACATCAAAGTCGTTGTCTGGGCAGAATCTCTGAAAGTGAGACACCTGAAGTGGTTGTGACTAGTGCCAAAGTCGGTCACAGTCAAGATGAGGCACTATACAACCACCTCTTCATCCCCTCATCTCCCAAACTCTATGTTCAGCCAGTGGTCAGTTGGCTAGTGAAACAACAGGAAGAGAAAACTCTGTGATGCTGGTAGCAGGTAAACAGTTAGGACAGATATTTGTAAACAGGAATTTGATTTTCTACAATGACAAATGCTATACAAATTTTATTCCTCATCTCTTCGTGAAACTTTTGGTAAACTTCACTTCGTGTTGATGTTTTTATGGAGTTGGATCTATTCTGAGGCTATGTTTAAGTGTTGAGTTCAGCCTTAACGGACAAGAGTAGAGGGAAACTTGAGATACTCAATGCAGCAAAAAAGGAACAAGCTGGTGAAGAGAGGCTGCACTGTGGTAATATAAGAGCACATAAGGCCTGCCTTGGCATCCATCACCCTTAGACATCAGACAGTCATTAAAAGTTGGAAAACTGATTTTTCATTGCAGGTCTGTAGTGTCAAAATCAGACAGACTCACATTATAAACCTTAATTACAGTCATTTGGTATTTACTCTCATCCGCCTCACCGAAAATAATTGGCATATCCTTCTATTAATAGTAAATTTCAAAATTCATGCGTTCTCAGGAAGTTGTTGGCATAGTTAAGTACGCACTTATTAAACAGAAATTTCCCAGCACTTACCCCATTGTATTATGGGCTTCGTTCTCCATGTCAAGAAACTGCTACATCTGGTTTATATTTCTTGATTTTTAATCTGTTGGAGAAAAATGATCCAAATTCCTAAAATGTTTATATTCATTAACCTATAAAACATAAAAATGTTGCTATTGCAAAAACCATTTAGTATGAGTTTTTCTTTATAGTAGCTCTTGGTGCTAAAAAATATAGAAACTTGAATTGGTTTTGTGGGGTTTTTTTTGTTTGTTTTTTGAGAAGGTGTCTCTCTCTGTCGCCCAGGCTGGAGTGCAGTGGCGCAATCTTGGCTCACTGAAACATCCGCCTCCTGGGTTCAAGCGATTCTCCTGCCTCAGCCTCCTGAGTAGCTGGAATTAAAGGCGCACACCACCACACCGGGCTAATTTTAGGAATGTTAGTACTTGCCTAAAGTTAAAATTAAAAAAAAAAAAAAAAAAAAAGTTTTTCATGGTAACAAAATTTTAGCTAAAAAATAATCTATGACGATAATTGGAGAAAGTATTGAAATGGACTTCAACTCCTCTGAATCATTGAATAAAAGTCAATTAAAGAGCATTCAAGGGAGTAGAAAGAGGAAGAAGATTCAGACTCACATCACTTCCAAATCGAAGAGTTTAAGACAGACCCAGGAATTGTGTGCGGGGCAGACTGGAGACGAGCAGGAATGGTGAAAAAAAACTTGACCAGAACAAGCAGACGAATAAATGGTTTTGTAGGTTCTCAAATCCCTTACTTAAACGTCAAGTAAACTGAGGCACAGACAAGTTAAGTGACTTGCCCAAGGCCACACGACTAGAGCCCAGGCCTTCTAACCTGGGGCGCAGCTCTGCTCTGCATTTCCAAGGGCGGGCCTCCCCTCCCAGCCTCTGTTTCCCCGCCACGCGCCCCGCCGGGACCCGCGCTCAGTTCAAGCCCAGCCTCCCGCAGAGCAGCCGCCCTTTTTTGGCCCCCCTGTCCCCTGGATATCCCCCGCCAGCCCGGCTGAAGGGAGAGGGTGAGGGTCAAGGGCGCGGCAAGGCCGGGGAAGCTCAGAACCATTACCTGCGCCGCGCCGCGCTTGCCCGAGAGGTCTGAGGCCCGGGGCGCAGGACCGCGTAGGTCACCTCCCGCCCGGCCAGGCCCGCCCCAAGGGGCCCCGCCGCCCGCCGCCGCGCTCCCGCCGCCTGAGTCCTCCAGCCGCGCGGCCCTCTAGGCTGCTGGGCCTCTCCCTGCCAGCGCGCCGCGCCGCCGCTGGTTGCCATGGGGACGTCGCGGGCAAACTCGCGGCTGCCGGGGTGGGGGAAGGGTGCGGCGGCGGCGGGCGCGGCCCGTGCGGGGGCTCCTCCGCTGCCTCCAACCTCGCCCCGCGCCAGCGCGACCTCTCTATCCCGCAGTTATGCGTCCGGTGTCCCCTCTATTCTGGGTCCCTCCTCTTTGTAGTCCCACTGCCCACCCCAAGGCCCGGCACCCCGCTGCCGCCCGAAATACTTGTTGAATTAATGAAACAAGGCGATCACAAAGGTACCGTAAACCGCTGGGGAGTTCGTCGCCAGGTTCCTTCAATCCCCTTGGCCCTCTTTCCTGTTACTCAAATTTGAAATGGTATGAAAAAGAAACTTGGGGTAAAGAGAACTGCTTCCTTTCCGTTCACCCGACTGTCTTCCAGCTGGGAGGAGCTGGATTTCACTGCTCAGTCCCTGGTTCCTCTGGTGACTCCAGCATCAGCTTGTACCTGGCTTTCCCGTCACGCGCGATGGGTTCTTAGAAAACTGCCAGTCAGGCGAGGGGGACAGTGTTGCCTCCCTTCAGGGAGAAGGGAGTAGCTTCTAAGCGGAGAAGCTGGAACGAAACTCAATGGGACTGATTCCAAATTCCTTCCTTTTCCCACCAAATTCCAAGAGTCATTGATGACAAATTTCTCTCTTCATTTCACAGAGGAAATGATAGGAAAGAATATATGTTTTCCAACTGACACCTGGAGTGATTTGTTTTAAGCACTTGAATTTTGTGTTTGATTTATTTTAGCCACAGAATTCCTTCCTCATACATGGAGTTGACTGCTTTTTATTCTTAAAGTCTTTTATTTGCACTCCGCTTTCATCGCTTTAACGCTCATTTGCTACTTTAATATTCTATCAATTTAATGCTCACCCACATTCCTCCATCCAGGTTCCCTCTGAATTTTATAAAACCATTATGCTGTTTCTTGACAAATTGAGCTTCATAGATGAATTGCAGAGTAACCTGGGATATTAGTTCTAATGAGTGTTTCATAGCTCTCATGTTTGCATGAAGAGAGTGATCATGCCATTTTAACCTGAAACTTTTCATTATTCTGAAAACTCATAGTTATATTTTTTATTCTTGTCTGAATTGAATAGGTCAATGTATTTTTTCTAACCTGAGGAAGGGAAAATGGAACGAGGAATGAAATTTAATGAAATCTCAGGATGCCCAAGATCACTAAGGCTATGTAACATTGGTAAGTACCTCCATGTTCATTATTACTTTAGAGGTTCAGAAATACCCTATATACTCAGCAAGTGTGTCAGGTGTTATTAATAGCTCCTTTCAGAAGATTAGGAAACGCAGGCTTAGAGAGAATGAAGGATATGTCCATGGATTTGTCCATCTACTTGCACTTGAAATGGATGATACATCAAGATATGAACCTAGATCATCGTACTCCAAATCCAGTGTTCTCCAAACATTAAGATTGAGTTGGTTTCTTTAGCAGCCAGGATCTTCCTTAGCAAACTGTAGGTTTCATGTTTTCACACAGAAGAGAGGTGTAGGGGAAGGCTTGTGAAAACATGTGATAAGACACATGCTATAATGGATTTTAGGAAAATTTAAATATAGAATAGGAACACCCCATTCAATTGAATACAAATAAAGGTTTTCATTTCAGGATGAGAGTTAAGATTTTCAATGCAAATACCTGTCCCCTACCCCACAATAAGTAACTGTAAAGACTTGAATTAACCCTGAAATGTCCTTATTATTAGATATTTTCAGGTAAGTTTGTTTTGAAAGCGATGAGACCAGGAAGGCCCCAGTCTAAAGGACAGGACGAGTGTGACCAGGTGCAAAGCTTTCTAAACAGGGCTAGTGAGAGATGACAAGAGAACTTAGTCATGAAAGAAAATTGGAGGACATAGCAAAGTGAGGATAAGATAAAGTGTAACCAGAAATGGTCAAAGGAGAATATAGTGGGCATAAATGGATGAAGAATAAGGATGACCTATGCAAGAAAAGCTAAGGAACCAATTATAGGAAATAAATAATAATCACAGCAATAGTCTAAATCTTTAAAATTTAAAAACCTTCATAACAAAATCATTTCATGGGAAAATTTATAATAGCAATATAGTAAATGAATGTGCAACTTTAACATATGCATGATTATATAAAATAACTTGATGTCTTATCAACAAGGAAATATTTTTATATTTTTTAAAAAGCAAGTTCACAAATTATATATATACAATATAATTTTAAAAACTAAGTATATCCTTATGCATAGAATGTATTTAAAAATTTTTTTAAAAAACAATTATAATCAAATAATCATAGAGTTGTGAGAAACTGTAGAGGAGATACAGTGTAACCCCAGGGGTCCTCAATCCCTGGGCTGTAAACTGGTGCTGGTCAGTAAGGGGCCTGTGAGGAACCTGGCCACACAGCAGGAGGCGAGCAGCAGGCAAACATTATAGCCTGAGCTTTGCCTCCTATTAGATCAGTGGTGACATTAGAGTCTTACAGAAGCCTGAATCCTTGTGAACTGTGCATGCCAGGGATCAAGGCTGCACACTCCTTATAAGAATCTAATGCCTGATGTTCTGATATGGAACAGTTGTGTCCTGAAACCACATCCCCTGGAGCCAAAAAGATTGGGGACTGCTGGCCTAACCTCTTCATTTTATGTGAAGAAACTCAGATCCAAAGAGTTATAATTAGTTTCATTGTTAGTTAATGGAAAAAATTTTCAAAGGAATTTTCTGGGGATGCTTAATATATACATTCTAGTTGAGAAAATAACCATTTGGTAGGAAGATACTCAGTATTTAGAACCAAGATCACCTAGAGCAGCATTATCCAATGGAAACGTAATGCAAACCACTTGTATAATTTTAAATATTCTAGTAGTCAAATTTTAAAAACTAAAAACCAGATGAAGTTAATTTTAATAATATATTTATTTCATCTAATATATCTAAAATATTTCAATACCTAGTCAATATAGAAACTATTGAGATATTTTACGTATTTTTTCATATTAAGTCTTTAAAATGTGATGCATAATTTTTACTTAAAGCTTAATCAGTTCATTCTGGCCATATGTAGGTGCTTCATAGTCAAACATGACTGGGGGCCGTCATATTGGACAGGGAAGCTGGAGAATATGGGTGCCTGGTCAATGTCCTAAAGCCCTTCATTAAAATGTCAAGGGTCATGCAAAGAGAGAGATTCTTAATTGTTTGGCTGTGATTTGAGAGAGATTTTGAAAGAGTCCTGACTCAGCATCCTTACAAATCTGCTCTGGGCTGGAAGAGGCATTAGACATCTGAAGAGAAATGCATACATGTGAGCCCTTAGCCAGGCAGCATGAGGTCTTTCATTGTGTTATGCCTGCTAGGCCTGTCAATCATCACTATCAGGGCTGCTTCTCCTCCTGATGGGAATTTAGAAGCACCAGGTCTCACTTGAGGTTCAGAAAACAAAGCCAAATTCTTTGAAAAATGGCTATCATGATTTTTTAAATTCTCTACTTTTACTTTTTATGGACCCTTAGTGTTTTGACACTGTGGTTTTGAAAATGTCATCCTCTTTTGGATATTAAGGGGAACTAAAGGAGAAAGATTTTTTTTTTTTTTTTTACCATTTTGACCATTGTTGTACAACTATTATCACCCTTCAGCTCCAGAACGTTTTTTAGCTTCCCAAACTGTAACTGTTCTCATTAAACAGTGCTTCTCCCAATGCCCCTTCTCCACCCCTACCCTGGAAATAACCATTCTGCTTTCTGTCACCATAAAGTGGCCTACACTGGGTACTTCATGTAAGAGGAATCATATGGTATTTGTCTTCTTGTGACTGGCTTATTTTACTTAGCATGTCTTCAGCATTCATCCATGTTGTGGCATTGCTTGACTCCTTAAAATTTTATACATTTTAAGGAGACATCAATCAACATATGTTGATTGATATATATTTAAGGATAATATACATTTAGGGAGACATCAATCAACATATGTAAGGTGAGCCTTGGTTCCATCTGGACGTATGGAAAGGCAGGACAACTTGAAGCAGAAAGGGGACTTCCAAGTCATAGGTAGATAAGAGACAAATGGTTGCATTCTTTTGAGTTTCTGAAATTTCCTTCCTTTTTAAGGCTGAATATATTCCATTTCATGCAGACACCCCGTTTTGTTTATCCATTCATCTGTCAACGGACCCTTGAGTTGCTTCCACCTTTTGGCTATGGTGAATAAAGCTGCTAGAGCATGGACATACAAATACTGTCTTTTGAGTCTCTGCTGTTTTGGTGTATATACTCAGAAGTAAAAATCTGGATTATACATTAATGCCATGTTTAATTTTTTGAGGAACTTCTATACTGTTTTCCATAGAGGCTGCAACATTGTACATTCCCACCAGTGATACACAGAAGTTCCAATTCCTCCACATCCTCACCAGCGCTTGTATTTTCTCTGTAGGTTTTACTGATAATAGCCATCCTGGTGGGTATGATGTTCATTCTTACTTTTTAAGAAAAAAAATGTACAATAAAAATATGTAATCAACCAGGTGCGGTAGCTCATGCCACCCACAATCCCAGCACTTTGGGAGGCCAAGGCAGGCGGATCACGAGGTCTGTAGATTGAGACCATCCTGGCCAACATGTTGAAACCCCATCTCTACTGAAATACAAAAAGTTAGCCAGGTGTGGTGGCGTGCACCTGTAGTCTAGTCCCAGCTACTCGGGAGGCTGAGGCAGGGGAATTGCTTGAACCCAGGAGGCAGAGGTTGCACTGGGCCAAGATCACGCTACTGCACTCCAGACTGGTGATGGAGCAAGACTCCATCTCAAAAAAAAAAGTAATAAAATGACAACTATGATTAACATTTTAATGACAATTCTTTTAGACATTTTCCTATGCATGTTGTGTCTCCAGATTTATTTTTACAAATATGAGATCATTCTGTAGTTTTTTTTTTTTTATTTTTTATTTTTTTTTATTTTTTCCCATTTATTTATTTTATTGCATTTTAGGTTTTGGGGAGAAAGATTTTTGTATACTCATGAGCTAAAGTTTTAAAGATGTAATACTTATTTCCTGGAGCCAGTCATGGCTACGACAGTGTTGAAGTGAAAGGTCCCTAGTAGGAAAAACAAACTTGTAACCAGAGAGGAAAGTTGGGCCTGTCTGCTTAATGATCTCTTTTCACTTGAGTCAACTTCTTCTGTGAGCTCAACTCTGCAGAAACCTTTTAGGTCCCTAGCTAATGTGATAGTGAGAAATTATTGGGTCAAAATCTAGGAAAAGGCATGAAGTAGAGAAGTGAGCCCAGCACTAAGCCTGCTTTTGAAATCATTTGATGCTCTGGAAGAAACATCTGCAAAACTGAGCAGCCATTGATAGTCTTTCGAAGCAAAGGGGGCAGAACACAAAGCCTGAGCTCAATAAGTAAATAAATAAATACCCGCTATGTTTAAGCTGGGGCTCCAAAGGACTTTGCCCTCAGGAAAATGGTGAAGTGGAAATAAATCAGTACTTCTACTGACTCGCAGCCAGCTTGGCATCATCTGTAATTTGGGATAACCTCCATCTTTGAACTTAGAATAGGGTCGTACTAGACTGGTAGATTAAGATACCTGGAAGAAGCAAGCAGAAAATTTCTGAAAAATAACTTCTCAAATACAAAGGCCAGAATAAAAAGAAAATAGAAATTCTAAAACTGGAAAAAAAATACTAATAACCAAAAATAAGAACACAATAGATTTGAATAATGATAGATTTGGTACAGGTAAGGGATAACTTGTGAACTGGAAAAACAGAACAGAAGAAAATATCCAGATTGTAGAGAAAAGAAAAATGATAAAATATTTTAGTATGAAGATTTTTTACAACTTTATTAATGGAAGTATTCATTGTTATAAAAGTAAAAATAGATAATATATGTGCAAGTATTTAATACATGCTCTAGCACATAGGGAGGACTCAAAAAGTATTTGTTGAATTTGAAATAAAAAAAAAATAATTTGTTACACAGGTTATCTTAAAAAAAGAAAAAGAAAAAAAATTGTTGATTTTGCGGTAATTTTCGTCATTTTATATAATTTCTGTTTCTTTGCCAAACTTCTCTTTTATTTTTTTGTTTCAACTTTTAAAGCATGTTAATAATAATTTTCTATTTTAGTTTGCATGTTATGATTCCAGACTCTAAAATATTTTTGATCTATTACTGGTGGCTCCTACTCATGTTGTCTTGTTTTCTTTTGTGGGTTTGTAATTTTTGACTATAAGATACTTTTGGGGGGAGCTTTATTTCTGGGACATCTTAGAGGCCAGGATGGAGGCTGAATCTTTTGCTTTTGCATTTGCTTTTGAGAATTGTCTGGGGGCATGACCAACTCCAAACCACTTTACATTAAATTTTTTACAGGAGGTTTTCCAGACAACACAGGTAATGTTATGAATGAAAAATAAGTGTTAGAGTCAGCTTATCAAACACATTTCCAAAACATTTTTTCTTTCCTTTTCTTAGTTTTTCTTCACCCAGTGCCGAAGTCAAAATAGGCATGTTTTCTACTGTTCAATGTTTCTGTCTTTTAAAAAAAATCAGCTTTTTCTTTTAAAACAGTTTTAGATTTACAGAAAACATATGAGCATAATACAGAGGGCTTCCATCTACCCCACATCCAGTAGCCTCTATTATTAACATCTTACATATGTATAGTCTATTTGTTATAATTAATAAACTGATACTGATAATATTAACTAGAGTTCATACTTTATTCAGATTTTCTTAGTTTTTGCCTAACGTTCTTTCGGTTGCAGGATCCCATCCAGGACAACACACTAAAAAGTGGTCGTGTTTCCTTAGGTACCTCATGGCTGTGTCAGTTCCCAAGAGTTTTTAAATGATCTTGGTAGTTTTAAAGAGAGCTGTTTAGGTATTTTCTGGAATGTCCCTTAATTGAAATTTGTCTGCAGTGTTTCTCATGATTAGATGGAAAGAAACTCACAGAAATTAACCGTTTTCATCACATTGTATCAAGGGTACATACTATCAACTTGATTTACGACTGTTGATGTTGACCTTGATCATCAGGTTGAGATGGTGTTTGTCAGCTCTCTCCACTGTAAAGTTACTCTTTCCCCTCTTCCATACTGTACTTTTTGAATGGAAGTCATTGTGTGCAGCACACACTTAATGAGTAGGGAGTTATTCTTCTCCTTCTGCAGGGTAAAGTGCATATATCAATTATTTGGCATTCTGCCTGGAAGATTTGTCTCAGCTCCCACATTTATTTATATCAGTATCGACTCATGGATATTTATTGTATACTTTGAGTTATAATCCAAGGCTACTTTGTTTGAGAAACTGAAAAAATTTAGTTTCTCAAATTATTTCAGCTGTGATCATTGGGAGTTCTTCCAGTTGGCTCCCATATTCCTTTGACATACTCTCATCATTGTGGGATTATAGTTTTTGAGAACTTCACTGCTTTCTAGCATTATAAGATGTTCTAGTCTCATCTTGACATCCATATATATTTCCTGCTCCTACAACCAGCTGTTTCTTCAGGGAGCCCTTATTAACAATGAATTAGAAACCAGTATCTGGGCAGTAGGAATGCTCCTTACTACTTGGTTATTCTTGTTCCTAAACCCTCTCAGCTGACAGAACAAGGAAATACATTTGTGTAATAGTGATCCTTGTATATACAAATAACTATAAATATTTCTATATGCAATCATTTGTATCTAAACAAACATGAGTTTATGTAAGCTAAACATGAGTTCACACTGATACCTCTAACCCTGTTACGCAGATTGTGCTAGCTTCTTCCCCTTACTTATCTGTAAATTCCTACCCCAATGGTAAAAACTGGCTCCCATCATCCACCATTCATTTACTTAACTGCACAACTGCAGTGTAGGTGTATAACAGTATCAGAATTGTTAATCCGTACCATGTGGAAAAGGACATTATCAATTAGAGTACAGTCTGTATATATAGTAAATTTTGCCTTTACCCTCAACAGATTTCACTCATTTCCAAAGTTACTTAAATCCTTTTCGTCTTCCTCTTCTAGTGAAGTTGTTTTACAAATCTATAATACAGTTAGGATGTTTTGTCACATTGTCCATTCTCTTTTGGGATTTTCCAGCCTCCTAAATGTATTTTAAAATTTGCATACACTAAGATTCACTATTTGTGCCTCATTTACTTTTTTTCTTTTTCTTTTATTTCTGTCTTTTTTTTTTTTTTTTTTTTTTTTTATGAGACAGGGTCTTGCTCTGTTGCCCAGGCTGGAGTGCAGCGGTATGATGTCAGCCCACTGCAGTCTTCACCCCCTGGGCTCAGACAATCCTCCAACCACAGCCTCCTGAGTAGCTGGGACCACAGGCATTGGCCACCACGCTCAGCTGATTTTGTTTATTTTCTGTAGAGACAGGTCTCTCTGTGATGTCCATGCTTGTCTTGAACTCCTGAGATCAAGTGATTCTCCTGCCTCAGCCTCCCAGAGCTTTGGGATTACAGGTATGAGCCACTGTGTCTGGTCTCACTTACTTTTATAGTGAAGGTAGCCTTTTGGAATTCCAGTTGTATGCAGAAGTCTGCTGGAATCCCAACCTGAGCTGGTCTTGGGCTTGATACCCTATCTCGTTCTGCATGTAGCCACCACAAGGTAAGCAGAAACATTCAGAGCAAAAGCTTCTTTTAGCATGCACTCCCTTGTTGGGGTTCCTCTTCTCACTTTGGTTATGAAATCTATTGATTTTATTATTTCATTCCAACTCAGTAAGATGTTCACATTTTTAATAATGTTTTACTTGTTTCAGATTGTTCAGAGTATCTAATCAAACATGCTGCCAGAAATGGAAGTTCTTTTTACATTATTTAACTTTAAAAAAATATTTTCTATAAATGTCTTTTAAGTTTCCTCAGCTCTTTAGTTTTAGAAACAGAAAGGGGAAAATTATGAATTAGTTAAATAAGTAATGATTCAAGATCAGATTCTATCTGTTATAAATAGTGATGTTAGAGAAAAATTAAAGAATACAATATAGCCACTTATAAAATAAGAGAACATGTCTTTAAAATATATTTAGAATAAGGATTTTGTATTAGGAAATTGAACTGTTATTTTTGTTGTTATTATTTAATTTTACTGAAATGACTTCCATGAACTGAGAATTACTTTCTGTATATCTCTTGAGTGTCATGTATTCTGGTTACCCTATAAACAATGTTAGTATGAGGTTGGCAGAATAAAACTGAGCTAGAAATACATGAGCAAATGCTTCAAACAAATGTTAATAAATAAACATTCTGTCATTACCATGAGACTGCAGCACCTGTTTTAGAGAGATACCAATGTTTTATCCATTTTAGTGTTAGCCTTCAATGATCATGTGGAACAACATGGAGGTTGAAGAAAAATGACTCTCAGTATCCTCATTACTTAGGTTTGTGCTGTAAGACCACTTATCATGTTGCCACTATTAGGCCTTCTTTTTGTTTTTAGTATAAAGCATTTTAGCATTGTTGCTGCTGCTGTTGAATATATGTTGTAATACCTGTCATAAAACATTATTCTAGGACACATCTAAGGAACATGAGATTGCCACATACAGTAGAAAATAACAACAACAATTTTCTCTTTTCCTTTTCCCAGGCTAAGATTATAAAACTCTTAGACATGTCTCAGATGCTTACACAGGAAACCTAGTTCATAGTGTCCTCACATGGACATTTATTCTTCATATGCTTGCATTTTAAAGTGCAATGATTCTGTATAAGCCTTGTTAGAAAACAACATTTGATAATTTAAGGGAGTTATTTTCTCTAAAGGGAGATTTACATGATTTTGTTGGAACATTTCAGAATGTTACCTGAAAAGCATGCCTATCTTCAGTCTGCAGCGACCTCAACATCCAGAAACTCAACTCTGAAAGTTTGTAAATTGCTTTGTAAAGGGGGCATCAGTCTCATTATCACAGACTTGTGTTAAAATTCAGTATGCAGTCCTATTTCTGAACTGACTGGGAGAACTTCCTCGGCTTGACATAAATCCTCAGATGATAGAGACTAATCATTGCAAAAAGAAACCACATTTCCTTTATTTCTCTTTTCATGATTAAATGTTTCAGTTGCTTTTTCTCATTTTAAGTAAGTATAAGTCACTTGCCCATTGATAGCTGAATTAAGTTTGTAAACCATGAAGGAAAGGAAAATGTTCATTCATCTTACTTAATCTTCCTTTTCATTCCAGTAGTGATTAAAAAAGAATCAATAGCACTAAGCTCTCCCAGGCAGAAAAAGTATTTAATTTCATTGTACATCTTTTAAAATTGTGATTTTTTTTTCTTTTATTGAATCTTCCTTTTTCTTTGAACATACAATGTGACAAAGCAACTATACAAATGTTTTATTTCTAAGAAATCCAGCTGAGCATTGTAGAAAGAATATGGACTCTGCATTCAGATAACAAGAGTTTGAATCCCAACTCTGCCTTTTAATAGCTAAATGGCTATGGCTAATTTATTTGCCATCATGAAAAATTAGTTCACTCATTTCTATAGCGGGGAATAGCAATACTTATAGGACTGTAGTAAATATTAAATTGGGTCTGTTATGTATATAACACACCTACCACGTAACATCATTGTTGTTATTGCTACTGTTACTATTATTTATCATATAACTATTTTGTTGTTTTAAAAAATATCCAGGGAGAAAAAGTATATGGACACTTTTAGAAACAAATTAGCCAGAACAAACTGTAACGATAAAGATCTTACTCAGAAGACACTTGAATGGTATATATTGAATAGTGATAAAGGGGAAGGGAAAAGATGATTAAATTAATTGATTGCTAAAGTATTTTTTTCCCAGTTAAAAGCTAAAACTAAGGGGTTAAGTGAAGACTTTCCACATGTATGAATTTTATTTATTCACTCATTCATTTATTCAAAACTGCATATTTATGTAACATGAACTATATGCTGGGCATTGTGGAATAAGAAAGATCAAGAGTTAGGAGCATGCAAAGAGAATTGCATCTAAATAATTATAGTACTTTTTCAAATGACAAGATTACAAAAAGATGTTCACTGTCATCAATAATTAAATCATACAAATTAACAAAATTATAAGATACTTTCTCTCATAGGATTTAGAAAAATTAGAATGACTAGTAACATTTAAAATTGGAAAAGATGTAAGCATACTCTCATCCATTGTTTGGACGTGTGTAAATTAATACAATTATTTTTGGTAATATTTGAGTGACTTGAAAATCTTGATCTAAATTTAAAACGTTCATAGCCAGCAATTCTCTCTCTAGAGAGATAGAGAAAGGGAGAGAGACAGAGAGGTTTTGCAGTGTTGTTTATAATCACATAAAAGGGAAGGAGAAGTGCAGCAGAATAGTGTATTTCTATGTTTACACTCACATGTCTGTTGTTAGAGGACCTCAGTCACATGAACCTCTCCATAAGGCTAATTGAGCACCCTTATGCCATGGCAGCTGATTTCTCACAAAGAAAGTCATGTAAGAGAGAAAGATAGATGCTGCCACCACACACAAAAAATGATATGTGAGGCAATGCATATGTTAATTAACTTAATTCAGTCATTCCACAATATATACACATTTAAAGAACATGTTGTATATGGTAAATATATACAATTTTTATTTGTATTTAAAAACTAATTAAAAAATAAAGCTACAGTACCTTTTAGACCTAGTCTCAGATATCACACAGTATCATTTCTACAATCTTGTGTTAATTAGCACAGAATCCCCAAATCCAGCCTAAGCTCAAGAGGTGGCAAATTAGGCTTCAGTTTTTGGAGGGAGGAGCATTGAATAATCTGTGGACATATTTAAAAACTATTCCACTTTGTTGTCTGGCTACAAATTATATACATTCTTTATATATTGGAAATATATTCACCCTCTTCCATACCAACTCCTAGTGCCACGTCTTAATTTTTTGCAACATCAGCTAAAAGTCTAGAAATTTGTCATCTGAATCAGACCTAAATGTGAATCCAGCTTCTCTAGTATTGTTTCTTAAATGCAGCTCCTTGAGTACAGTTCCTTTTATCTCAAGCCTTTTGGGCTAAAGAGGCAAGTTACCCACATACTCATCCAACATGCATAAGATAACTGTAAACAATCCTGTTCAAATAGTGGAAAAATGGGAAGCCTAAAGCAATCACTGGTCCATAGCAATTCTGAAATCCACCCAGGCTCATGTTCAGTCGTTTTTGATTCTAACTCAAGGAAATTCCTAGGAATCATTCTCCATGGCTCTTGGCTGTACCCTGTGGGTTATTGGTTTCCTCCTCTGATTGATTTTCCCTTTCCCTTGAAAGGTACCCTGTTTTGGAGCTGTGCATTTTTCTCAGGAAAACTTTGGAATTTCAAATGCCTCTTTTTGTTGTGTACTATCTCTGTTCCCTTCAGTCTAAGCTGATGGTATTTCTGTCAATATCATTTTTTAAAGAAACTTTCTGAATCTCCTGTGAACCTTATTCAAGCTCACTTCATTAGACAAAAGCCATACCCCAAAATATTTTCAAGGAAAGTTCTTCTGTACTTTAGGCTTCTGCTGAACTGTGGAAGGACAATACCCTTAAGCTTATTGAAAGCTCTGTTGTTTCACCGAATGGTTCTCACAGGCACTATCTTACATCTTTCTGTTGTTGTAAACAAAGTATTTTACAGTCACACCGTCATCTTCATCTCTGGACCATATTTCCCATCAGTGCCCTGAATTTGACTTTTGCTGGGAAACCATGACTTTATTTTAGGCATGTTTGCCATCTAGAGAGGCTGGAGATTTTCAAAACCATTATGGCTTCTCACATTTAGCAATTCTTCTTTTAGTTTATCTCCTTTCTCTCACATTAAGTATCAAGAAGAAACCAGGTAAAATCTTCAGTACTTTGCCTGGCTGTCTCCTTAGGTAGATCACTCAGTACATTAGGTACGTCGTCTACTTTCCGCATTACTACAGATGATAGTATTGTGAAAACACATCCCATGTATCCCTTTTCTTCAGGTTCCAATAAGCTTTTTCTTACTTTTCTTGAAGATTTTACCATTAGCTTTCCTTTAGTCATCAGGCTTCTATTAACAGTTTCATTATCCTTTTTCTAATATTCTCCCTTAAAGCCTTTGCAGCTTTTGCCCACATCTGTTTCCAAAGCCATTTCCACAGTTTTATGTATTTATTATGATAGTACCTATTTTTGAGTATCAAATCTGTATCAGTTATTTACTGCTTTGTAACAAATTACTCCAAAACATAGGTTAGGCATCAGGGAGCAGCTTATGTGGGTAGTTTTGCCTCAGGATCTCTCATGAGATTACAGTCAACATGTCAGTAAGGGCTACAGTCACCTGAAGGCTTGAATGAGGTCAGAGGATCCACTTCCAAGATGGCTCATTCACATATACATTGGCAAAGGGCCACAGTTCTTCACTGGCTATTAACAGGAAGCCTCCATTCCTTGCTATATTGGCTTTTCCTTAAGTCTACTTGAATGTTCTCATGACATGGAAGGAAGTTGGCTCCCCCAAGAGTAAGTGATGTGGGAGAGAAAGTAAGGATTGAGCCACAATGTCTTTTATGATCTAGTCTCAGAAGTCATACACTATAGCTTCTGCCACATTCTAACCATTAAAAGTGAGTCATTATGTTCAGCTCACACTCAGGAGAGGGCAGTTAGGTTCTATCCTTTGGAGGATGGACTATCAAGAAATTAGTGGACTTATTTTCAGAATGTGTGTGTGTGTTTTTTTTTTTTATTTTACTCTTTAAGTTCTGGGATACATGTGCAGAACGTGCAGATTTGTTACATAGGTTCACATGTGCCATAGTGGTTTGCTGCACTTATCATCCCATCATCTAGGTTTTAAGCCTCACATCCATTGGGTATTTGTCCTAATGCTCTCCCTCCTTTGCCCTCCACCCCTATACAGGCCCCAGTGAGTGATGTTCCCCTCCTTGTGTCCGTGTGTTCTCATTGTTCAGTTCCCACTTACGAGTGAGAACATGTGGTGTTTGGTTTTCTGTTCTTGTATTAGTTTGCTGAGAATGATGGCTTCCAGCTTCATCCATGTCCCTGCAAAGGACTTGAACTCACAGAATATGTTTTAAAACCACTGCAACACCCATTAGAAAGTGAATATACAAATATTCACTTAGAAAATGTTGATATATTATTCTGTCAAAACACAAAGCAAGTTTTATAACTATATGTATAGCATGACTATATGTTTGGAGAAAAAGCAATGTAACCTTGAATATGTGGGTCAAAGCATAAAAAGTTTTTGAAACCTACAGACGTAAATGTTGGTAATTCTTACAGAGTTATGATAGGCAGTTTGGAATGAGCCTAGTGGGACATAAGAGAAGAAGAATGAGTTTTACATATTACTTTTAAAAAGAGGTAGAATTTATGCATTTTGACTTTCTACTTGTGTTTTTCCATATTTTCAAACTTTCTAAAATAAGCATGTGTAGCTCACCCAATTAACAATTGTGCTTACCAGGAGAGAATGTTTATTTAGCTATAAATGTTGAATTGAGATTGGAGGAGAATGGATATGAGGGCATGACCCATCTGAAGTCCCAAGATAATAATCAAGTGTCAAAGAGAAAAATCATTTTGTTACTACTGAACATCTGATTTGTTCAAAGTAGATAAAATCAGCCATGTAAATTATGCAAAAAACATAACTTCAGTTCTATTTACTACAGAGTAAATGTTGACAAGATTTTAAGATAGAATATAAAACAAAGGACTTCTGGTCAAAATGGAAGTATGGCAGACTGAAGCATAATTTACCTACTCTTCCCTCCTGAAACTCCACTACAATGTTAGTAAAGGCTGTGCACACACATACATGCGCACACACATTTAAGAGAGTGAAAGAGAGACAGAGAGAGAGAGAAAGAGAACAGAAAAGAGGACAACAACAATATAATTTTGACTGCTGGAAAGCTGATGGATGAGTGGTAACTTGGCTTTGCAGATCAGAAGAATCTGAAATAGAAGCCCATGAGGGTGAAAGCCAGGGATTTCCAGAAACAGTCTTGGGAATTGAAAGCACCGGGTACTTCAGAATGGAAGGGGCACAAGTAGAGAAGAACACAAGAGGATTGATTTAAAGTCTACTTAGGACACAGTTTATTTCCCAGATCCTCTCTGCAGCAACTGGAGAGTATCCACTCTCCAGTCAGGCAACTTTCTCTTTCTGAC